GATGCTAGTTGTTTACTGATAACTCCTCAGAAGAAAGATTTCTAGTGCTAATTTTTTTCAAATATCTAGAGTAACTGAACATAGTTCAGAGATGTCCATCGCGGCGCTGCCGCGATGGCGGTGGCGGCGCGACAGCGGCAGGTTTTTTAGAAAATCACTGCGGCAGCGGCGCGGTAGCGGCAGATTTTTTAAAAAGTCATCGCGGCAGCGGCAGGTTTTTTAAAAAACTATCGCAGCAGCGGCAGGAGTTTTTTTGGAGGACATTGAAAAACTGTATGAATTTAATAGAATTTCAGGATTTACAAATGAAACGCCCTGATATTGAATAATCTGATGGACTAGTACCCATATCTCTGGTCAAATATAGTCACAGCAGTGAAATTAGAAACACTTTTTTGAAAACCGTCGCGGCAGCGTTTCTTTTAGAAGTCATCGCGGTGCGACAGCATCGCGGCAACATTTTTTTATAAATCGTCGCGGCGCGGCAGCTTTTTTTTCTAAGGCCGCGGCAGATTTTCAGCCGCGATGGACATCTCTGACATAGTTAAGTTCGTTTTTAGAAAATCTAATTATCTCGAGATTTGAGTAATCTAAATTTTCGAAATTGATGTTGATAACGAATATGATTTTATTCATATACCTATAAAGTTCTTGATGTATTGGTATATCAATTTCAATCCAATCAAGAAACCATCCTGCACCAGATTTTTTTCCATTATGTCCAATAAGTATATGTTCAATCTATTGATAATATTAAAATAATCTTAATAAATCAAAGACAATTAACAAACTTTGCCAAGATCATTAAATTCACATGTAAAATTATCGATAGATCCACGTTCAAATAGAGCTTTTGTATTGTTTATTGTTTTAAGTGGAATTTTATCTGTATTACCTTTTTCACCAAATATTTTCAAATGTACATCAGCATCAGTACCAGCTTGAAAAATATCACCAGTTTTTATTTTAATATTATATGTTGTTTTATTTAAATTTTGTGTTGATGTTAATTCACGAACAATTTGTCCATCATCTTGATCAACAGCAAGCCATCTAAGAATAAATTATTTTTTTTTATTTTAAATACAATTACTCTTTTTGTTTTTTTTTTTGTTTAAATACCTATTACAAATAAATGTTACTGGTTCAAAATGTTGATCATCTTGACGAATAACAACTTTATTTAAAAACCATCCAGAATGTTTTCCTAGTTAATGATTAGATAAATAAATAAGTAAAAAAACAAAAGATTTTTTTTTTTTAGCATAACTAACCAGTACCATCATGACCGATTTGAATTTTTCGTATTTGTTTTAAGAAAACAGCTTCAATAATAAAACTATCAACCTGTAAAAAAAAAATACGAAAATTTTGTAAATGAATATTTATTTTTACTTGATTTTTTTCAAATTTATCTTTATTTTGTAATGAATATTCTAATAAACGAACTAGAAAAAATAAATGATATATTTTCGTTTTTTTTTTTTTTGCATTCAAAAAATATTAATAATTAAATTTGATATTTAACCTCCTGTATCACCATAATCACCATAAATATTAATAAAAACATTTGCATCTGTACCAGCACCAGTTTGATTTCCTGTATATACATCAACTATATATTGAACAATAGGTAAAGATCTTGATATTCCGGGTCCTTCAGCTGGTAATTCTCGAATAATTTGTTTATCATCTTCTGTTTTTGATAACCATCTTCCACAATGAAATGTATATTGTTGATGTGTTTTAAGATTTTTCATTTCAATCTAAGAACATCATTAAATAAAATAAACGAAAGAATAATGTCGAATTAGGTGATCTATTTTAGAATTGAGAAATCAATTATACTATGTTATTGAGTAAATCGAGCCGCTTATCGAATTTAAATAGTAAATTTTATCTTCATAAGATTTTCAACGAATTCGAGTCTATTTATTAAGAGATGACTATGTACTCAAAGCATGATTATTGTGATCGTTGATATTATTCGAAAGTATTTCGAAGAAGTTTTTCATTATATACAGTTCTATAGAGATTCTCACGAAATAAAGCTTATACACTTATCATCTCTGAACATCTTATCTGTGAGAGGAAGAAAAAAAGCGATTTTCAATAATTTATCATCGTTTTTCGGTAATGGTGGGTCTTCATGTCTTCCTATTGAAGACATGGAGACTTACCATTAGAAAAAAAAAACGGTGATAAATTATTGAAATATAAGCTTGGAGTTCAAGTGAGATCAACAACTACAATAATCATCTCTCAATAGATTGACTCGAGTTCTTTGAAAGTCTTATGAAGATCATATTTGCTATATACAATCCGATGAGCGGTTTGTCTTACTCAACAAATTGGTATTATCAGTTTGTCACTTCTGAACAGGTCACTTAATCCAGTAGAGTCCTTTCTTTTTTTGTTTTTTTTTCATACTCGATCAAGATGCCATGATGCAGATAAACTTTCCTTATGAAGACTAACACGTAATTTCGATGGTACACCAATATCATATATATCTGCTTCAAATTGATCACAATGACCTTGTTGAAATGTATCTGAATTTCTTTCTAATTTAATATCTCTTGATTTTCCATTACTACCATAAAGAACAAGAATTGCTTGAGCATTTGTACTTGCTCCTTTCTTATCACTTGTATATACCCATATATGCCATGGAGTAGCTAAATAAAGAAAATTCATTGATGAAAATAATATTTTATTTATTTACTTGGTGGATAAATTTTACGTAATGATATATCTTCTTTTAATCGACGTTCAATACGTTTATCACCTTGATCATAAGCTAACCAATTATTGCAAGGAAATGTTTGTTTAATACCTGTACTTG